GGAAAGTTGTGAAAGAAACGCCCTCCCTCCGGTTTTTTTTTTTTTTTTTTAACTGTCTGCTTCCTCATATTTGAGGAAGTGGGTGGCTGTTTGGTACAGATGATGCATTATGAGCACACTTTCTTGAGAAAATTAGTTTTTTAAATACTTGCAAAACTACAGTGAGTTCATTTGTGATACAAGGCTGAAGGCAATTAAAAGATAATTTCAAAACTCTCACTGTTACTTTGACTCTGTTCTCTTCCCATCCAATGGATCAAGTGGCTAACATTAGCCTACTTTCAGCTTCTTCCTTGTAAGGACCTCACAGACAACTCTCCACCTGCCCTGGATAAAGGCTCCAAGAGATCCCAGCCTGATGTAGGAAAGGTTTTGATAAATTTAGCTAATAAGTCGATTTCAGTCATTTGAGATTCATTCATATGACATGAGGGTTCTTTGACAATGGGTACAAGGCACGGGCTTCAGAATCAGAGTAACATTGGTTCCAAATTTGGTTTGTGCACTCCCTAGCTCTACGGCTTTGAGCAAGAAACTGAATTTTTCTGGACATCAATGTCTTCATTAGAAAATCAGGGTCAATAATAACCAACACTGTAGAGAATCACTGGAAAGATGTTTAGTATAGAGCTTGACACATAGTCATACCTAAACACCAATTCAACCTTCATTCTATTCAGCTCAGCTTTGTGACAGGCTTTTATATGTTTCACTGTGTCAACCTAGACACTTTCTTGCTGTATGACCTTGGAAAATTTTCTTATATCTCAATTTTTCTCTTCTGTAAATGGACAGATAATACAGCCTCCTTTACTGGGCTGTTGTGGGGCTTTATTACACAGTAGGTACAAAATGCTAAGGCCAATCACTGCTTGCCTACACATAAGCAACACATTTTGGGCCCATTCATTCTTCAATTCCCCCGGAAAATTCTGTCATACTTTCTTCTTCACCTCCCACTTGCTCACATTCTGTTGATGGCTTGGCTTCTGGTTTCATTAAGAAAACTGATGCAACGGGTGAAAATGTCCTCAGCTCCTCTGCTGTATCTGTCCATCTATATAGCAAGCAAACCCATATGCTGTTACAGTGCATGAATATGCTTCCATCACTGTCCCACTTTTATGACATCATCATTGTCTTCTCTGCTACACCTTCCCCAGCCACATTCAACTTGTTTTTCATTCTATCGATTTCAAAAGTTCTTGATGCTATTTCTCTCATTGGCACCATTTCCCTCCGTTTTTTAGCTAAACTTTGATAAGAAGTATGTATACTTGCTCACATCTTTCCTTTTATTCTCTCCCAAATGCCTTCTGTGGAAGCTTTTGTCCCTAAACTCTACAGAATATCTTCTTATCAAGGGCACAAGGGACATTTCTGTCACTAAACCCCCAAGTCAGTTCTCTATTCTCATACTGTTGTCTTATCAATGTTGGACACATACGACTACTTCCTCTAGCTCTGAGCCCTCTCCCCATCTGGTTTCCAGGGACTATGATTCGCCAGCTCTCTGCCTGATTTTTTGGCTGCCCTGTTTCTGGTTCCTGCTAATTTCTTCTCATTGCTCTGTGTTCTAAATACTGGAAAAAAACAAGACACAATCAGCAGAGTTCTTTCCCATCCCTGCTCACACACCTTAGTCAACTCCCAGGTCTCAAGATTTTAAGGGTCATGTGTCTACAGTGTCCAGCTCAGACCACCCTCTGAATCCCAAATCACATGCATTTCCACGCAGATCTTCAATAGCCATCTCAAACTAAACCTGTCTCAGGCTTATATTTAGGTGCTAGGCTAAAGGAACAGTGGGGACCTGTATCATATTCTTTTTAGAAATGAAAGGCTCGTAGGGCTGGGGATGTAGCTCAGTGGTTCCATCACCTGCCTCGCAAGTACAGGCTCTGAGTTCGATCCCCAGTACCAAAAAAAAAAAAAATTTTTTTTGAGCCGAGTGTGGTGGCTCACACCTGTAATCCCAGCACTCGGGAGGCTGGGGCAGGAGGATTGCTGTGAGTTTGAGATCAGCCTGGGCTACATAGTGAGTTCCAAGTCAGTCTCAACTACATAATGAGTTCCTGTCTCAAAAAAACAAAAAAAAAAAGAAAGAAAAAAGAAAAGAAATGAAAGGCACATAAGCAGAGCCTCTGGTCTCATTTTATCTGCTTAAATTCCATTGGCCAGCACAGGTCACATGGCCAAGCCCCAAAACCCAGAGTCAGTAAGTGCCCACAGCATTAAGGGGACAGGGGAAGAAGGAAGGACAGAAATGTTTACCCATCAAGGATTCAACTCATCAATCCAACTCAGTTTACCCACCTGCCCTGCTGCTCCCCAGCAGTGCTGGAGTCCTCTGACCTTGACTCAGGTCAGCTTCTTAGGGACTTTGGAGCCTCCATTCTTGTACTTCTCTCTTCCCGACCCAACACTGCTGTTCTTTATCCTGTCCTGAGGGAAGCAGCTGCCCTGAACCCAGACCAGTGACATCTCCATAGGGAATGTGACACCACTCGCCGTTTCAGTCCCGGGATCTTTAACCTAAGAACTCTGAAAATGCTGCAAAGATGGCATTTAACAAAACACAGAACTTCCTTTACTCTTTAGGATGGGCTCCTGTGAGTCTCGGAAAAACTTGTGACCCATAGGGGAAGTTGGTTACACATGCAGACAGGCAAACAGAAAAGCAATTCTGGAAAGGCCTGAGAGAGCAGCCCTGTTTCCACAGAGCCTTCTCTGAATGTCAGCTCCCCAGAAGAGGGTGAAATTCTTGTCTGTTCTACTGCTGCACCCCCTCCCTGACCTTTACAAATCCAAGAATGAAGTATCTGAGCATTTGTAATAACAAAAATAAAAATTAATTCCCCTATTTGCTTATTAATGCTAACTATTTTTAAGGACTAAATATTTGCTGGACACTGGGGGAAAGTTCGTGAACAAAGAAACTTGGTCTCTGCCTTTTCTTCACTTTCCTACTCTTTTGTCCACCCTCCCATGTGTAGCTAACAGGCTGTGGAGGAAGAAGAATAATTAAATAAACAATTAAATGCACATGAGAAGGACTGTACTCAGGGGAGCATCTATATGGGAGGGCTTAATTGGGACATGGTGAAGGATAAGGGCTTCCTGGAGGAAAGATTTTTTAAATTAAGGTTTGATGGATGAGTTAAGAAGATAAGAGGGTTAGAAAAGGATTCCAGACAAAGTAAGCAATATGCAAAAGACATAGAGGCAAGAAAGAATTCCTGAGAAGGATAAATAGGTGAGTGGAAAGGAGAGGAAACTGGATAGACAGGTTGGGATGGATGGGCAACATCATATAGATCTCAGAAGCCTTGGTGAAAAGTCTTGAATTCCCTGGGGGAAAACAGGTCCCTGGGGAGCTTTTAGCAGAGCCAGAGAAATAGGTTCTAGATTATATCCAATGGCAGGGGAGTGAGGAAGTCTGGTCAACACAGTGTTCAGGAAAGAAGGACACACAAGAGCCACCTGAGCGATAGAATGAGCCTCAAGGAGATTATAAAGAGATTTTAAAAAGACACCATACTCCTGACTGCAGTCACCTTAGGGAATCTCCACCACACAATTCCAGTCACAGAGATGGGAGGATTGAAAATGAGGGCCCCGGAAATGAGGTGCCCCTTCAAGAAAAGAGTGGACTCAGTTGGGGGAATGGTGCACTTGGGGACTTAGGGGGCCATAAGGGCAGGTTTTCTGAAGCATGTGAGCACAGAGCTCATTCACCCTTCATTCCCTTCATAGATAGTATCAGGACTGAGCTGGATGCTGAGTGAACTGGATGATTAGGCGCCTGGCCTCCTCCTCAAGTGACTCACAGAAGACAAGTACAAACAAAACTGTGTGCACGCACAGGGCAAGGTGGGAGCAGAAGTGATTAGCTCCGCTGGGTGGCCAGGGGTGGCTTCCCAGGAAATGTGACCCAAGACAGAGTAGCTGGGAGAGTGAGAGGGGGACTTTACAGACAAATGAAATGGAAGTTAGTTATTCAAACGTGGCACCCTTTCAGAGAAATATAGGAAAGTTGGATGGCTGGAGGGGGAGGTGACCAGAGGGGCCTGCGTCACATACTGAGGGCCTGAACTCTACTTTGAGGCGACAGAACTTTATTTTTATATATTTGTAATAGATAACAATTACATTCATCTTGGGGAATATTTTGTTTTGTTGGGGTTTTGTACCAGGGATCGAACTCAGAACCTCACACTTGCCGGGCAGACACTGCTGCTGAGCTAAATTCCCTGCCCTATGTATACATAGTTTATATTGGTCATTTTTACCATTCCTTCCTCCCGCTCTTCTGCCTCCACTCCCCAAATGTCCTTCCCATTTCCACAAAGTCTACCTCTCTGTTTCCTGCCATTTATGTTTTATTTTCCTCTTTAAATCATTTCTATTTTATGGTTCCCATATAAGAGAAACTATGTGATATTTAACCTTCTGGGTTTGATTTACTTCACAAAGCACTTTTATGTTCTCAAGATCCATTCCTTGTCAACTTTTCATATCTTCTTTTCTATGCTATTTTTACCATCATGGGATTCTATGTTGAAGTTATAAAGAAGCACAAAGAAAATTAAAACTGTTGTTGTCATTCATTGTGTGCAATGGTCCCCACTTATCCACGGAGACATGTTCCAGGATCTCCGGTGTGCACCTAAAACTTTGGATAGTATCAAATCCTGTGTGAATTATGTTTATTCCTATACATACATACCTGTTACAAAGTTTAACTTATAAATTAGGCATGGAGTCAGGCATGGTGGCACACGCCTGTAATCCCAGCACTGAGGAAGCTGAGACAGGAGGATCGCTGTGAGTTCAAGAAAGCCTGGGCT